ATATATATATCCTTTATTTGTCCCCAGTGTGGGACAAATAAAGGATATCTTATCTTATCTTATCTTATAGCTCAAATAGATATAAATACATGTTGCAGCTCCGAAAAAGGAGAGCTGTGGTGTTGGTTTTTTAAAACGTACACTTTATTTATGCTTTTAACAGTCTCGACAAACAGACACGTCTGCGTCCGACTCCGTGCCTTCTCTCTTCTCGTTTGACTCAAGAGGCGTTCAAAGACAGCCTCAGAAAAACAGAAATTAATGATCACTTCACTGACACTAAAAAAAGTGAAAATAATGCACCAAAACAAAAAAATCAAGCGAGGAAATCACAAAATAAATTCTATGGGGGCGTTTGTGAACACACAACAAAGGAATGAATAACAAACAATTCTGAGACAGTCCAGTCTCATACATACATAAAGCATGTGTTTAATTCATTGTAAGTTTTATAGAAGGCTTTTATTTTTTTGCGGCTCCAGACATATTTGTTTTTTGTTTTTTTTGTCCTTTAAGGCTCTCTCAACATTTTGGGGTGCCGACCCCTGCCCTAAACTATCCTCGAAACAGTTTTTTGAGGGCTCTTAACCCTTTCAGGGACAGCGGTTACTACAGTGCACAGCTTATCATGTTATCAGGTTACAGGGTGCATGAAAGGGTTAAATCTACGACTCGAAACACCTTTGGTGCTATCAAAATCCAAATGATTTGGACTGAATTCAACTGGTGTGCACTCAATGGTACCTTGAACGTGACATGTCTTGATGTTCACCTTCCACCACACAGGTATCAGAAGTGCTTGATGTTCCATCGGTTCTGGTCCATCGATGACAAGCAGATCCACACGCAGTACAGTTCACTCAGGTCAATCGTGGTGACCAACTACGAAGAAACCATTAAGATGCCCATCAATGAACCCGCAGTGGGGAAAAAGAAGTCACAAATACAGGTGGGACATGAAACGAAAGCGCCAGCCGCATAATGTCTTTCACCACTGTAACAACGGTTTGATATCCTCGCACTTCCTGTGTCCACGCAGGAATATGTGGACTATAACGGGGGAGCGGGCGTTCAGCACATTGCCCTCAACACATCAAACATCATTCAAGCCGTGAGTGTTTAATCATCATCGAAATTCCAGTAAGCCGACAACACCTCGACTTCCAAAATCGACAAGTAAAGACATGTTTTGCAACCTCACCAAAAGATTGTGAACTTGCGCGCCCGAGGGATGGAGTTCCTCTCAGCACCTGACACCTACTACGACACCCTGAGGGAGAAGCTCAAAATTGCCAAGATAAAAGTGAAGGAGGACCTCAACCGTCTGCAGGTGAGGAGATGCCGATTTCAGTCGCATTCTCCGTTTTGCTGCCATCCTAATATCCACACTACTATATTTCCTTTCAAGGAATTGAAAATCTTAGTTGACTTTGACGACAAGGGCTACCTCCTCCAAATCTTCACCAAACCCGTGCAGGATAGACCCACCCTCTTCTTGGAGGTCATCCAGAGGAACAACCACTTTGTAAGTTTGAAACCACTTGACAAATGCATTTCCTTCAACTCGACCAAAACAAAACAGAGGTCATTGTTTTAGGGAATAAAGAAAAAAGTAAACATTTTAACAGTCGCCGTCGGTCAAAAAAAGATCAAGTCCGAAACCTTGGCGTACTGATAGATTTTAGCAGTTAAATCAAAATAATCATTAAAACAATCTTTTCCCATTGGAAAACAAAACCATATCCAGATTGAAGCGGTGGGTGTTCCAAGCAGACCAGGACAAGCTTTTATCTCCAGTAGGCTCGAGTATTGTAACGGTTTTCTGACTTGACGGACTCGAAAGAGCGCCAAACAGCTGCAGCTCATTGAAAACTCGGCAGCTGGGTTATGACCAGAGGAAAGAGATCAAAGCATTTTGCTCCAGTTCTAAAAGCTTGACTCCCAAGTCAGCTGTCGAATAGATTTTTTTGAAATTCTGAAATTGGTCTATAAATCACTGAATGGTTTAGGTCCTGAATATATTAAAGAAATGTTAATGGGTTATAAACCGTATTGTTACGGTTTTCTGACTTGACGGACTCGAAAGAGCGCCAAACAGCTGCAGCTCATTGAAAACTCGGCAGCTGGGTTATGACCAGAGGAAAGAGATCAAAGCATTTTGCTCCAGTTCTAAAAGCTTGACTCCCAGTCAGCTGTAGAATAGATTTTTTGAAATTCTGCTATTGGTCTATAAATCACAGAATGGTTTAGGTCCTGAATATATTAAAGAAATGTTAATGGGTTATAAACCCAGTTCGACTCTGAAGTCTGCAGACCCCGAGTTAATTAGCGGAGCCCAGGGTTCATGGCAAACATGATGAAGCAGCATTTGGCTGTTATGCTGCACACAAATTTTAAAGCATTTTGAAAATAAATGGAAAAAAAATCTGGTACTGTTGTTTTTAAATGTTGTATTGTTAATAATGTGAAGCGCATTCAGTCATCTTGTGTATGAAATGCGCAATGATAATAAAGCTGCAATGCCTTGCCGTACCATTGGTAGGCAGTTCTTGGGGGAAGGCAAATATTTGTGCCCCTTACGTCATGGCTCGGTACTAGCAAAGAGTACTAATTTTAATTTAATGAAGTACATCTTTATACAGAGAGCCCCCTTTTTTTTCTCCATTTTGTTTCAGTCGTCTTTCAGACAGATGTGAGGCAATCGGCATTCTTAGGCTGTAAGCATATCACATCCATTGCTTATCAATTGATACTGGAGTGGCGTTGCAAAATTTTTGCCTGGCAAGAGGTTTTGCTGTCCCTGAATGCAGTTCTGCACCAGTTTGAGATGGTCGTCCTGCTGCCCCAATTTACGTTATTCTTCGGCATAATTTACTACTAAAGCTTAACATGTACCGACGCTTTAAGCGGAAGATTGTGACGCTCACTAACTTACACCTTCTTCATTTGCAAAAAAAAATGAATAGATACAAATAAATAGAAAAAAAAGGAAATTTGCAGTGACTTTTGGAACACCAAGTGTACTGGATACCACATGGGCACCATGGGAGCCAACGGTAGGGCATCAAATCCTTCTTTCCCTCAATCGAAAGCACGTTTTTCAACTTTTTAAATTGCGCACCGACGTGACCACCCCCTTTGGCTGATTCACAAAGAGATCAAGTGTTGAAACTTTTGTTCAGTGGCATAACAGACAGTGATTAACACCTGTAGCTTCAAAGTTTCAACGCCATTAAAAAGAAGCTGAGCAGGTTGAACACCTGTTTATGGCTCCCACCCATAGCGAGCACTCTCTGACATGATGCCGCTTGTTAAAAGTTCAGTAAATCAATCACACACGTACACACGCATGCACAGATTAAAATGCTCCCCTCGTCACAACAAGGTTTTTGGCTCCCTGTTTTGGGCTCTGAAAATGCTGACATGTTTCATCTCCTCATTAGAAGATTGTACATCAAAGTTAAATTGATTACTCAGCTGCGTGCATGTGTTCTCTCTCTCCAGGGCTTCGGGGCAGGAAACTTCAAGTCCCTCTTTGAAGCCATCGAGATGGACCAAGAAGCCAGAGGCAATCTGACCGTGGTGACACCCAAGGGCCAGGACCAGGCCTTCTACTGATTCTGTTAAGCGACACATCTCAGAGGCAACCAACAACAACCTCCATTAAGTCATGTGCGGGAGTGCTGGCTGTCTCCAAGCGTTTGCCGTGACTTGGCTAAATAAAGATAGTCGCCGGCTAAGACAAGAAAGAAATACTTTGACAAACAGCCATTCTGATGATATTATCAACATTGGAGCTCCCCATGTGTCCAATGGATGTAATGCATCCCGCAATTCTACAGTACAGTACATGCATCTATTGGATTTATCTCCTTATTTACAGATATGACTTGAGTGAATTCAGCCATGAATAAAAAAGGAACTGCTGCGATTTGTGAGTGTTTTCTTGTAAGAGCTTTAGCACGATCAAACAGTTACTTCGCTATTTAATTTTCAAAGCAATGATTCTTCAGTAAAATTTTAAAGAAGCCGGGGGTGCTTTGGCTACCATAAGATACGATATTGAATCATTCTTGTCGATGAAATGAAACAATTCAAAGTTAATGCTTCCTGCTTCACATCCCTCCATTTCGCTACATCCATCCATCCATTTTCCGATCCGCTTTATCGTCACAAGGGTCGCGGGGGTGCTGGAGCCTATCCCAGCTGTATTTGGGCGGTAGGCGGGGGACACCCTTAACCGGTTGCCAGCCAATCATATGGCACACATCCGCACCCACACCCAAGGACAATTTAGAGTGCTCAATCAGCTTGCCATGCATGTTCTTGGAATGTGGGAGGAAACCGGAGTACCCAAACAACACCCACGCATACCCGGGGAGAACCTGCACGTTTCGCTGCAGTGTTTTTTTTTTTTTTGTGATGGGTGAAGAAGTAAGCGGAAACAAAAGACCCAATAAAAAAAATACCATGTGTTCTAAAAATTGTGTTTTTTCTTCTTTTCCCAAAATATTGAAAAACAACTCAGGCAATTTTGCCCTGTGGCTGACGATATCGTTCACTGAATCCGGGGAGGAAGTGGCTTATCTTCAGGCGACCAGTACAAATCACGTGGTGTTCCGCGAACATATGTCAAATCACAAAATTAACATAAGATAGCTAAATATATCTTTCTAATCTTCTTTATTTTGTTTGGCCTTTGATGTGTCACCATACGGTTTGTCAATGAAGCAACACGGTGAAGTCGGGGAGATATTTGTTCTTCTACTTTGCAACTTGGAATTCCCAGTTTGAGTCCCCGTGCACTTTTCCTGGAATGTAGCATCAGACCCCAAGCTCTCAATCAATCACCACTCACCACCTGAGTTGACCTCACCTATTTCCGTATTTGGCAGTTGCCTGTTTGGACAAAAAGAAGGAATGGAAAGCACAAACACTTTTTCAAAGGTACAGTAGGGGAGTAAAGGTAAATATTTGAAAAAAATACCGAACTACAGTACTTGACCTAATTAAGGTCCCTGGACTGGACGACAATCAGGCATATTTACACAACTTGCCTTTTTAGACTTAAAATATCCTAATAATTTTTACATGAACCCTTCATGAATGTTTGTGGATGACGGGAGGGAGCCCCAGCATACACAAACCTGCCTGTCACAACCTGAGACCTCTCACATACCTGTCAACTTTTCGGAGCGCCAACCTGTATAAACTACCAAAAAAATCCTTATAAAGAGCAAAAAATCCTTATAACATACCAAAGCATTTTATATGTCAAAATAACGGCAGAAAAAAAACCCACGAAATATGAATGATATATTTGTTTCCTTGTAGCACTTGCTTGTACACTACCGAAGTATGCAATGAATACTCTGCTGTTTTCAACTAGGAACCACGTGATTTACTGGAAAGTTACCGGAAATGAAAGTAGTCGAGTAGACTACCACCATTCTGGGCAAAAGCAAACGTAACTACCTGTTAGGAGAAAAAAAAAGAAAAAAAAAAAAGTAAATTTTCAGAATCCGTATGATTTGTGCGATATGGCCATATTCGTAAGATTCACCACAAAATCCGTATGAACTATGGCTAAACCGTATGAGTTGACAGGTATGCTCTCACCAAACGTGCTAATCGAACCACTTCTTTGCAATTATGCCCCGAATTATAAGGCATCTTTTTTTTTCAAGTGTAATATTTATGATTTGAACCACAAATATTATATCAGTGGTATGACGTTTTATGTTGCGGGTATGTTGAAAGATTCGTCGCTCGGCAAGATGTTCAGTTCCAAATTCCACTGAAGACGGCTGGCCATGAGGGTCAAAAAGCACTTGGTGAAGCGCTCCATTTAGTCAACTTGGAGCGCCTTGTTGAGTACACGATCGTATGTCAATCGTTTAAATCGCTAATTTTATGGAATTCAGAAGCTGCTAATCTACACTAAGGCCGAAGTAAAGCTGTAATTCTCTTTATTTGTAAGAGAATGCTTCAATAAAAGTCAACCAAATTTGATTTACAGAAACACATTTCAACAATGGCCGAAAACAAGTATTTGCCTTCTTAGTTGTTCTTTACGACGACGACACGTGACACAAAGCGCTTCAGTATTCAATTCGCAACATGATTGTTGATTTTCAATGTTTGTTTCTGGTATGTTGACCCTTATGTAGCTAAATGAGGGAACCACTGTTTACACACTTAACTCCGTTTAATGCCGCTGCAAACCTTAACAATAAAACATGGTTACCTCCCGGATTGTGTCAATCTAAACTGAGCATGATAGTGCACTATTTAGAGGTACCACGCTTGGGTCACACTGGGGGCTGTCCGAGTATATATCCGGACTTGCATGTAACGTATGAATGTTTGTCATACAAGAAAAACATAGCCATTTGATTTATTTCAAAATAATTTATTTTCATATAATTGGAATGAAGACAGGTTGATACATTTGTGATGGTACTGTGGTTAGTTTCCATACAGAAAAAAAAAGACCTATACAGAAACCACCCTTTCAAACCTGGACAAAATGGATAAATATATATTAGTAAATAAATACATCAGTGACATGTCACTGTATTGAAATGTTCTATTATATATATATTTGTGTATATATATAAAATACAACACTATTTGTTTCTGTTGTATTCTTTTTGTACACAAGTATCGAAAATATACTGACAGATAGATCCCTTTGGGTTTTGGAGAGATTTTTTTTTTTTTTGCACTCTATTAAAAAAAAAGGCAGTGTTAAGCTTAAAATTCTTGCAAAACATACACAAACAGAATTGTTTAAAATTGTATGAAAATTCCGTGCTCTGCCTTTTTGGGCTTGTTTCAATTTTGTTTTATTATTTTTATAATATGTAGTATTTTTTCTGGATTTTGTATACATGTGCTTCACCCAAAGTGCTGGTTTGAATTCAGTCACATCCATGGCAGAGAAAGCGACCAGGGATTAAAAAAAAAAAAAAAGAGGCAAGGACGCCCGGGTTCTTTAGCTGAGATTAGTGTAAAGCATGTTCAAAGGTACAGTATTTCTCCATGATTGTCCTTTCGAGTCCAAAATGATTACCACTTTCATTTTACTTCAATTGGTGGAGGCGTAGGAAAAAAGGAGACGTTCGAGAAAGGCACTGTTTGGATTTGGCCTCCTTGGCTGGCCATAGAGAGCAGAGAACATCTGCGATGTGGCTCGTGAACGCGTAAGGCACATATGAGGCTCCGCTAAGTGCTACCAGTTACATTGCAATGCCCGCGAGCTTTTAACGTCAATTGGCACGAAAGTATATTAGCGGTAAAACTGCCCTTTGTCAAAGTTAAAGTAAGGCAAGGCAAGAGGGGCCATGAGAACTACTACCAGACTTGCACGGAGCAGGGGGAAACTGCAAATGCGGAGAAAGAGGATCGGTCGTGCTGTGGTTGAGTTGTATGTGCAAAGGTCAAGTGTTGAGTGGCTAAAAGGGCGCAGAGCAAATCAATGGCTGGGCGACTGTCAACTTGGTGTAAGTTGCTAACGCATATTTGACAGTGACAAAATACGACGATGGGTAAACGTCGACCAAGGTATTTTAAGGGCCATGCCGAAAAGCAACATTTTGCTCTGTGAATGACCTCAAGTTGCGGGTATTACGGGAAAAGCATGAAAATGTTATGTAACTAAGTCAAAACTATTGCAAGAATAAAGTTGTAATATTCCAAGACAAAGGTCAGAAAGTCACGAGGAAAAAAAACAAAACACTTTTTCAACACAAACTCAACTGATCATGGTCAGTGGTAATATTTAAAAGACAAATATCATTTTCACAAGACAAGCAGCTGCTATGTCCCTCTTGAAGCATGCCATATATTAATATTTGTTGAACACAAATCTGGTTGGTGATCATACAACTCCTCTAAGAAGTAATTTCACGTAGGCTATGTGTGACAAAACAGTGATCCTGTTGTGTCGAGAACTCACATGAAAGCAAGCATTTTGCAGTTCAAGTAAAAGTGAAATATTTTTTTCCACTACCTATGCCATCTTTGTCCTCATACAATCCAAAGATGTCATCGTAATTTATTTTTTAATTTTCACACAAATGTATTTTCTTCTTGTCAAATTAAAACTCTTTATCGTATTATTCATGATGGTATGCTCAGAATGTTTTTTTCCCTCTCAGATTTAAACTCCTGTTTGTAAAATCCTGATTTCATCTCGTAAAAACAACTTTTGTCTTGAAATAATTCTACTTTATGCTTGAAATTGTTCACTTTCCTCCTTGCAAGAATAACCTTCAAATATTTTGACTTGGAGTCACTATTCTATTCTTATAATTGCATTTTTTTTTTTCTGGAAAGGTATTTTTCCCAATACAGGGGTCCTCGGTTTACAATTTCACATGACATTTCGCGGTTACAAACCTCACGTAGCTTAAAACGATATCGTCTCGGGGCACAAGAAAGCACGTTTGGTGACTTCTGTGTGCTTACCGTTTTTCCATTTCATAGGTGTCACTTTCGTACAATTTTTGGTTCATGTTGCCACTGTAGGAAAAGAACCGAGGAGCCCCTTTATTTTATTTTTTTTTTCAGTGGGGCCCCCACTTTTTAACCAGATTTGATTAAACTGAATTACTGAATTTCCACTGTTTGGCAATTACTGAGACATTCAGCACCTCCCTCACTGAGGCGGGCAACGGTTGTGATTCTTGGGGACAGTAGCAAAATTCGGCAGAGGTAGTCGGGGTTCGTTCAAGGTCACAAATGTTCGCAAAATCTTTGCCAACAGTTTAGGTAGTTGTTCTTGTTGCAAATAAATTTTGCTCTAAAGTATAGGCCAACATCTGCTGAACATCTGGCAACCGTTCAAGCGATCATTTGCGAGCCCAAACGAACCAAAACAAACCCGGTCCAAAGTGCAACGTTCGCTGCCTTCGTAAATACTTGCAATTGTTTGCCGCTCACTGGGACAGGGGCTTTCCTCAGAATCCTCCCCGAATGGCCGTACCTCACTGAGCGGCGAAGGTTTGCAAGTGTGCATGCCCATACCGAAGTTTGTTTTTTCATCAGGGTCCTTTCAAGCTCGCAAAGACGTTTGCCAACAGTTTTAATGATCTCAATTTTTTTTTCTTGTCGGAACATGTTCAAAATTTGGAAAAACTTTTTGCGGCTGGCAAAATTGGTTGGGAATGTCTGGCAAACGTCTTTGCAACTGTTCGCAAAATTGGATTGGGAAAAAAAAAAGACTTGCACAAACTTGCAAACCTGTGCTGCTCAATGAGACACCGGTTTTATAATTAGTTTCATGCATCATGGCAACAGCATGTGGCACTTCTGAGCTATGGCACCCTGCAGTAAAATCTGCCTCTCGTCAGGCTTTATACCACTGGTATTAAGAAAATTTAAAGGCACTGGGTGTTTTCTAAGGTTACAATGTCAAACAATTTTGAGGAACTTCAGTTGCTGGAGAAGATTGCGGGGGGGGGGGAGATGAGCTGAGCAGAAAAGATCAAAAAAGGTCATCCCTCAGATGCAAAGTGCCAAGGAGACAGTTGCTTGTCATGGTGGCAACACTATTCAGTCATTTGGACAAATTAAAGGAATATTGTACCAAAAACAAACCAAAAAAAAAAAATAAAACCGCGCACAAAAAATGCTGAAAGGAGCTGCCATTATTGAAGTGCTGTCTTGAAAACAAGGCCCGCGGAAGGCTCAGCAACCTCACTGAACTTTCACCTGAATCAACCTTTCCCTCTGCCAAATTAGCAACATGATATCTTTTTAGGTTGTGGGAGATACTTGGATTTGATTAAAAAAAAAAAAAAAAAAAAAAATAAAACCGCGCACAAAAAATGCTGAAAGGAGCTGCCATTATTGAAGTGCTGTCTTGAAAACAAGGCCCGCGGAAGGCTCAGCAACCTCACTGAACTTTCACCTGAATCAACCTTTCCCGCTGCCAAATTAGCAACATGATATCTTTTTAGGTTGTGGGAGATACTTGGATTTGATTAAAAAAAAAAAAAAATAAAACCGCGCACAAAAAATGCTGAAAGGAGCTGCCATTATTGAAGTGCTGTCTTGAAAACAAGGCCCGCGGAAGGCTCAGCAACCTCACTGAACTTTCACCTGAATCAACCTTTCCCGCTGCCAAATTAGCAACATGATATCTTTTTAGGTTGTGGGAGATACTTGGATTTGATTAAAAAAAAAAAAAAACTACAGCAGTACCTTGAAAGAAAACCCTGTGTGAGGCAAGACAAATTCTGAGCTGAGGTAGGCTTAGAGAAAAGTTTGATCAGCTGAGGCTCGACTCAGCAAGGAGGAAGATGTCGATCACGTGAGTGAATGAATGAAGGTACCGCGGTGAGCAAAATCAAGTTCTTCTGAATTAGGTGAGCCACGCACACGTGGAGTCTGACCCCGTGAGTGACAACAGCCAGAACAAGAGCCCCTTTTCCCACTCTTTCCACACTTTAAACCCTTTGTGGGGGTGTTCCCATCAACTCCGGATGGTCATGCAAAGCAACCGAATGTGCGTTAGGTGCTAATTTGTTTCGTGATTGAGCCCGGAATCTCGTCATCAAGCATTCGAAACAAAATGATGTTCATGAGACACTCTGAAGAGGGAATCCAAGACTTGGCAAGCAGAATGACTGTACGTGGCAGCAGGCAAGAGTGCGAGCAACTAAGAGGATCATCCATTCTGGCTCTGTATAGCAGCGTCATATTAGGGAAACAAGTTCTCACACACCGGACTCCTCTTCAGATCCTGCGGACACATCAGAGAAAAGTTGAATTTACACATCGACTTGGATAAGAAACAACGGCTCTTCAAAGAGTCTGTCGATAAAGGAGAATATTAGATACGTCGAAGTTAATCGTTGTTCTTATAAGGCGGGAGAAACTCCGAAATGATGACCGATAATGATGACTCACGTGGCAGATGCGCTTTATGCCTTTTTTTGGAACACTGTCTATTGTCAACTAAGTATAAGAAGTTAACCAATGTAAAACATGAAAAAAAAAAAACCATTGGTGATGCTGCGCTTCGATGAGATTTTGTTTCACACAAAAAGTCAAAATCAGAGCAAAATACAGCAGAGAATTCACATTTTACACTGAATAAATTAAGGCCCACTGTGGTTGAATTCTAAATTGCATGACCCGAGTGACATTCAGCTTCAGAGGTTCCCCTGTATTTGTAGATTTACAGCGTCACGGATGTGTCTCCGCATTTATTTTTTGATGTATTTTGATGTCATCGTGATAGCATAGACAGAGAATATCTGTGTGTGTTATAACATTGGCAGACATACGATTATCAACATCTGGAAGGGGCCTGATTCCGATATTGGATTCCACTGCTGTAATTTATGCTGCCATGACACATAATTTATACATGTATATAAAAAAAAAAATAGAATTGTGCCAGATGAACGACGCGCTTGAAATGCAACACACAATATATCATTGTGAGCATAAGCTGGCAACAAAAAATGATCTTGTCATAAAGCAGACTCATCCTTTCCAAAGTTCAATAGTTGGTCGTGTTCAAATGGATCAAAGAAACTGACAACACTCACCCTGATTGTGGTACATTTTTTGGCAGTATAAACAACTGTCTGTGTTGCGGTCTGCAGCAAGGCCATGCTGGGACCTGCAAGGAGGTCTCTCAATAGAGTTCTTGGTCCCCAGGAGATGAGGCTCAGAGTGGGCCTCCTGCACCCGCTTTTGCCACACAACATGGGCCCCGGCACAGCAGGGCCAGTCGTCTATACCTCCCGAGTCCAGAATTAGAGGTACGGGAAGGAGGGCGGGGTGCAGTTCAGGGGGAGAGCAGCAAAAGCCCGAGCTTTGGCCGAAGTGGATGCGGACGCTCCGATCATCCTGAAGGTCCAAGCTCTGGTGGAAACGAACAGAGGGGTGGTCTCGCACACAGCTCCGTCCGAGAGCTGCGGGTGAGTGTCCCTGGTGGCAGCAGTGGGTTTGTAGATGTAAGGGGATAGAGGACACCAGGACAGAAGGCCCCGAAGATGCGCTCGGGTCCGGATCCCGACCTTCTGTCCCAGAAACGGGCAGCAGATGTGTACAGTCTGGTTTTTGGCACTGGCAGTGACTTGGCTTAGGGGGGGCAACGGGTGAGTCTTTATCCAAGACGAGTGCAGGAGGGGCTGTGGCCGCACCGGCCCCCTGCTCCTCATCTGAGCCTCTGCTTGGGTCCTGGCTGTGCTCCCCATCATCATAGTGGTGGTGTCTATGGCGGTGGTAGTGGATGTGGCTAAACACAGTCTGAGGTTGCTCCTCAGGGCAGCCAACTTTGTTCACCACAGAATCCAGAGACCTGGGCCGGCCCTGGGCTTCCACTTCGACGGAGCCCGGCCCGTAATACACAAATGGATCGTAGTCGCTACTCAGTGAGCTGCGGAAAGTGGACCAGCTGCCGTAAACTCCCTGCAAGGACACGTCAGTACAGTTCAAAACGGAGTCGCTGGAGGAGCCGTGGCACGGCCCTGAGCTAGAGTCACTCGCCGGCCCGTCGGCCAAATATCCACTGCGATCCGTGTGGTAGCTGCCGCCGGAGCAGCTGCCCTCGTCCAGTCGACCATGGGCCGCCGCTCCGCGGCTTTGTGGGGTGGCTGAGGCGATGTGGTGCACTCTGGAGTTGGAAGCGCTGCGCTGAGCTGGGCAAGATGAGCGGTAGTTGTGACAGGACCGGCGGGGGGTGTAGTGGTGAGTAGAAGTCCTGCAGTTACCGCCAGTCCTATGGGGCCTTCTGGGACCCTCTGCTGGAAGGTGGTACCCACAGGGGACACCCAGTGGCCTGCTGGTAAGCAAACGTAGGGTTTGGTTGTCCATGGGAGAGGAGGAATTGTAGTGGCCAACAGAGGGATACGAGCCCGAGGGACCACGAGGATAAAGTGGCCTCATAGAAAATGGGATGTCATGCTGGGGGAACGGGTGGTTTCGTGGACTGCTGTAAGGCTGAGGGTGGAGGAAACGCTGTTCTGGACTGGATTGGTGTCTGTTCCTCTGGGCATGCCTCTCCGCCCCTGTGGATTACAACCATCGTTACAAGACATGCTATGCTATTGTTTGGTATCTATCGATGCTCATTTCTGAAATTCATAATAAAGTGATGCCAAAGGATAATAAATCACAAAATCTAAAAAGAAATTTGATGACCAATGAGAAGAGGCAACGATACTTTTAGCTCCTACTTTCCAGTCATTGGCCGTATCATTTGGTACACCTGCATAATCTAATGAGTTAATAATAACAACAGCATTGTGCGATGTCGTATAAGGCGCTGTTTCCAGACGTCGACTGAGCTAAGGCACATGTCAACCCAACACCACCCCCCAACAAACACAAGACATAAATAAATAAACAAACATCACAAAAAGTGGGTTCATAGATTGATTGATTGTCAATGTGCCATGGCATAGTGGTTGGAAATTATTGGTATGATGCCATCAAAACAAAACACGTTCAACTGTGACAATGTCTAGGTAGACGTCATTGGAAATCAAAACGAACCACAGAAAAAAGCTCTCTGAGAGTACCAATGAAGGCGTGGATGCAATCTATTTCTGCGGTCTGAGTCAGTGGAAAACTCTTTGGCAACAAGATGAGAAGAAAAAAAAAAGGGACTTTCTTTCTCATTTGTAACGTGCCGACTTCATTCTCCGTGAACCAGGAAATACGCTGCGAACTAACCGCCCGATGAAAACTCAAACAAACAGCTTTACCTTTGTAAATAGGTCCGCCTTTGCAAAGAACTGCGCTCTATTAAGTAATGTTCTAGTTATTTTTTGATCCAGCTATTGTATCATAGATCTCATTAGATTATGTGCAAATGGGCTTTATCCTCACCCATGATGTTGTGCATGCACAGAGGACAGGTGCGGTGCTGTAGCAACCAGGGATCAACACAATCTTTATGAAACTCGTGAGCGCAGGAGATGATCCTGAGATGCTTGGGTTAAAAAAAAAAAAAGGGGGGGGGAGAGATGAATGTTAATAAGAACAAGTTATATCAGTGGCTGGACAATTCATTAAAATTTAATTGGGATTTTGATTTTGGCGTTTCTCGATCTTAAAATGATTATGGTGCCAAACATAGGCAGTATACTGCCCCTAAGAGGCCACCGCACACACTGCAGGAATGGCCATTATTTTTAATCCGTTATTTTTTAATTGTTATTATTTTAGTATATTCTTACCGGTATTTTACTTTGTTACTTATTTATTTTCTCTTTTCTCTTTTCTCTCTTCCAAGTTACAGTATATTTAAAGTGGAATTCTCAAGGATTCAAGGAAGTTTTATTGACATTTCCATGAGATATGGGCACGGAATATGATACCAAAAGTCTCGTGTTAGCCCAGGATGCCCCAAGACTTGTGCAAATAAAATAAAGAACAACAAAATAAGATTAAATAAATACGATTAAGAGATAAGGGAGATGCATATTAACCGTTTGAATGTGTGCAAAGATGTAATGCAGCAACGGGGTTGATGTGACAGAGGTGTGGCTGCAGGTTATGATGGTCGGAGGAATTGAGTTTTGGGAGTTGAATTAATACTAACTAAATCATCAATTTTAATCAATCATGATTTCGACATCACTCAAAATTAATTGTGACTGTTATTTTTTTTTCCATAATCATCTAGCCCTAATTATTTCTTAAAGCACAGGAGGCCCGATGCTCAGTTCCTCTTACCTGGCCATCCTGGAACTCCTCCAGGCAGATAGCACAGACTGGGGTGGAGTTGGAGCTGCTCGCTGAACCCCAGGCCCCACGGGGGCGCTGTGAGCCTGAGCACCCCTGAGAGATGTAGGTTTTGGTCTCCAATCGACTAATTGCCCGCATGGTCTGCTGATGCACCGAGTCCTGCATGAGTGAGGCTACAAGTTAGAAGGCTTACGGAAGGAAAGGCTGTTTGAGCATTTAGCCGATATCCTTGATATCCTGCTGAATTAAGAACTATAGTAGCACGCAGATGTCAACGGATATCAGGAATATTGAATACATGCTAAAATGGCTTTCTGTAAAGGTTGACATGTGTAAGAGTGTTTTTGGTTTCACTTACCCAAGTTCTACTGGACTTGCACTTGTAGCGGAAAGCAAAGATGAGGATGATGGTCACGACAGCAAAGACAATGGTGAGCAGGATACCCACGTCATAATGTGGCTGAAAATGGAGCAAATATTAATTAGAATACAGACTGCATCGTGCAATTACAAAAAAAAAAAAAAAAAAAAAAAAGGAGGACAACAGCCGCCACATGCTGTCCATGCAAATGTTTGTAACATTGTAATAATACATTCTCATGTATACAATAACACACTAAAAGTCCATTTAGCACAGAGATTAGCAATATTGGCTCATGTCATTGAAATCTCACAGTTCAAACGTTCTTCCCTGCAACCCTTCAACCCCCCCCCCCCTCCCCACGACCTCTCCAGCCAACAAATGAAAAGTCTTGCAGCTGTGTGTGTTTGCGTGCTCTTGTGAGCCTGTGCTTACCCACTTCACCAATATCTCAATACGAACTTTAGCCTCCTCGTTCTTGTTGACCAGAGCCATCAACTCCTCCGCATCCTCAGCATCCACCAGCACGACCGGGCGGGGAAGGGAGTCTGTTTCTCTCAGCTGAATGACAGTTGTGCAAATAAGCAAGATGCAGAAATACCACCAAACTAGGGATCATCTTTGTTTTGACATAAGTGCAGGTCCTAGCGCTTTCACACTGACCTCGACAGCCGCGTTGACATCATCGCTGACATCGAAAATAACCGCCTGAGCTCCCTTTTCCAGTGCCATGCGGGCCTGCAGGAGGAAACACAGGACGAGGGTTATAGATGCACATCCACTATTTTTCCGACATCTTTTTACTTGATGCATTTGAACAAGAATATCTCTCCTTTCCCTTCCTCAAGCCCCCGAACCCCAGCAAATGACAACATGACATAATAATGATGCAAAGATAGAAAAGGGAAAGTCAACCATGATTCGGATTTAAATTAACAGAATATAGTGATTACAATCTTGGGGACAGAAAAATGAGCAGAAAAAAAAACAATTATTATTGAGAAAAGTCAGGTAGTCGCCCATCTAGCACCTCAACTAAGAGAGTTTGTTGACTCCAAGAATGTTTCCTGCCGAACGTGTTTGGTCTTAAAACCCACCAACTTCCCAAATTCTCCATCTAATCTGACAAAACAGAGATAAGCTGTATTTTTTGTTTTGAGTTAGTTCTCATTTAGCATTTTTTTTGTAAACCAGTTCACAGTGTTTGCAATGCTAAGGGGAACACGCTGCTTTGCTAACAAATGCCTGGGCCAACGCTAGCAACTCCAGCTACGAAATAAACACAACATGGAGTTGTCTCAAGTTACCAAAATGTTTTTTTTTTCTGTTTTTATTCAATACGAATATAACATATACATTGCTGACAAAATAACTGGCATATCTGCCACTTAAGACAAAAATGAAAGCACGGAATGCTCACTAGGTGGCAGTCATGCAATGACAGTATGTCCTTAGCACATGTTCGGCTCCCCTTTGAAAATGTGTTCCTGGGAATCTCATGGCCAGAGTACCAACTTGCTGCTCGGCCAAAAACTTTCTCATAACGTTGAAGAGCGTGACTGTTATTCCCGAGTGGGGGGGAAAGAAGTTATGTGGAGTCACGCAGGCAGAATGACGGCAAACAGAGCGGAGTCATTTGATTGTTCACACGTTAAGACTCAACAAACGACTGTAGGTCATTACCTATCCGACAGACTTACAAAATATTTAATCCTCCGATTATTTATTTGTTTGTGCACGCTTAAGGGACTGCTCTGTGTGTGTCATGACAAACATTACAAGTGCCCGCATTCTGCTCAACTGCTTTGCATCATTGTTCAAAATAAGCAGTGCTTACTAACGCAGTTAATTTCATAAAACAAGGCTGCAGGACCCCATCAGAAATATCACATCATCAATAACTATAAAGTACCAAAAAATTAACCAATAGTTATTTGTTAGACTGACTAATAGGTTACAATGTCATGATGATTGTCACATATCCCCCCACCCCCCACCCCCAACAAACCCTATGTGAAGATACCACAGTACATTAGTACAAATAATTTAAACTCCAAAAAGAACAATATTAAAACATTCGTAATGTCTTAACAGACCCTTACACACTGACATACCCAGTACAGTTAGTCGCACCAAAGGTGTAAGAGGTGCAACCAGCGTTTGGGTGACTGTGCCTTTCTGGTGTGCTCACACAGATGTCGTGGCTTTGTGCATTGAGATAATTCAATGCATGATGACAACAACATCAATGTGTGGGACAAGAACAATCATTTTCATCACAGTAGCGGTAGTCTTGCAGGATAAAATTCCCACTTGGAAAGTGGCTTCCTCTGATACTGTACAATCGTGGGGTCCTCTGATACAACATGGCTGGCAATTGAACTTCAAACTGAACTTCTGCAAATCACCAAAAAGCTGGCTTTGCTGTTTAAGGTCACTTTCAAAAAATGTCCTCCGTAGCCATATTTGATCAAGCCATGAGTTTTAATGAAAACGAAAACGATACCTGCTCCTGCCTTTTCCACCTTAAAAAAAGCCCTAAAAACCGAAATTCAGGTCAGTTTGATTTCAAACTATAAACGAAACCACATTCGACTGTCTCCAATTTGTTCATAATGCCAACACAAGATTCCCCCCCGTATAAATTCCATTTCAGCCACATCACTTGGTACATTTGAGGATTCCGTCCATGATTTCCAAAGTTCACTTCCAGAGACCTCAATGGTCGTCTCCACCATGCTTGGTGTATTTGGCGTCATTTTATTGTCCTCTTAGGTCACTGCCCTCTGCCTTTCACTTAATGTCCTTTGCACAAGATTAAAATGGAAATTTGATCGAGCCTTGCAGTCTGTATATAATCCGAAGAGGATTGGACGCCACACACATAGACAAGGATAAGATCCTCGGTCCAAAAAAAGGTTTCAAGAAGAAGATTTAGTCAAATGCCAAACGGTACAGAACAGTCATCCCATTCATTGCTCATTGGCAGATATTTGACGTTTCATGTAACAGATGCATATATTTTGTTGATTTTCTTGTTGGATTCCTGTCTGTTTTTTCCCCCAAGCAGTTGCTTGTTTACTCATTCCTCTGTCTGGCTCTCAAGTGAGAGCCTTTTATCCCAACGCAGCTGCATGATGCAGCTGAAAACATTGCTAAGAAAGCAATGAGACCAGAGTGAAGCAGTCAAGTTCGTGAGTTGAAATACAACAATCAACCTGGCAGGGCACGTCAGATAAATATTGGTCATTGTTGCGATTTTTTTTGTTTTTTAGGGATGAAGGCGGCAGGGCAGAGAAAAAGTCACGCGCTCCCTTCTCAACAGAGGTGGGTTGACCTGAGAGGCCATCTCTGTGTGAGGGCGTCTGCGCTTTCAACAATGTTTGTACTATCGGCCCATTCTACAAAAGCTCACAAACGCTTTTCACAAGCATCGCCAGAGGAGAGCGTGAAAACAAAACGCCACCTTTTCATCAGTGTTTCATCACATGCCGGCGAGCGACAGGCATCTCGCTGCGTCTAATGAGGAGACGCAAGCAAACTGAATCCGCGGTGCCAAATGTTCACAGGACAGGCAGGCAGACTCAGGTTTAAAAAAAAAAAACATCACTCACTTGATCCATTTCACAAGTTAATGAAAAACCTAGTTTGGTGAGCGACAGCACTGAAGGCCGAACATTATTTAACACTTCAAAAAAGGGAAAGTTAATACATGACAAGAAAGGAACAGACACTTCCTTGATTACATGCAATATTGTTCACGAATCCCTTCTACGCTTGTGCCCTCTTAACACATAAATTGACAGTAAAATGCTCACTTTTTTTTCTCCTCTAATCAGAACATTTGGGGTCTAACACAGACAGAGTGAAATGTTTGAAATACTTTCTTGCAGGTGAATGCTACAGTGGGCAGGTTTGAGCGTACATTGTAACATATACCTTTGGCCTTACTGCCTCTCGTATTAGAAAAAGGTCACAAGCACACTCCCTACGTCTCTGCTGTGTGACGCAGCCGGAAGTCACTTATGAGATCTCATTCCAGGATTGAAAGCGGTTCTACTTCATCTTTACGTGTGCAGAGGATAAACATAGGAATACACTTACTGGACAAGTAAAGACACCCACTACGATAGATCAAAATGCAACAGACATGGCATTCGTCAAACAGTCATTCTGGTTGAACAAGAGAGAAAGTGACTATGGGGTTAAAAAGTCACAGCCCTTACTGTTTTCATATGAAAAGGAATGGTGGGACAACAACCACTTAACATATGTATATACTGTGAATATAATAATACAGTACTCTCTTGCAACCCACTGTGTTATTTGGATCCAAGTAGATATTATGTCTCCGGTTGGCATCGTGACAACTTTGTGGAATTGCACTATAATTCATATCTCACTTTCATCCACATCTGATGAAATGTCTCTTTTGCGAAATAGATGAGCGGATATTCCTAGACTACATTCGGAAAGTCTTTTGGGTCACTTCAACCACCCAGTGTCGTGGTTTTGCCACACTCCCCCCCCCCCCGCCAAATTCTGATTCCTCGTCCGACAGCAAAGTACAATTGCACAGAAACATAAAGAGGTTGTGGTCCTTCAGAAAAGTACAAAAACATTATTAACTACAAGGAGAGCAAGCAGTATTCTTTTCCTTGCCAGGGCCGCTTGTTGCTAGGCAGAGATTCGAGCGCTCAATCATAACTGCCCCATTTGCCAAAAAAAATGAAGGCTACATGTGAGCCGCAACCCCCGGGCTAAAAAACTGCTCCTAGCTATCGAGTTTTTGCACTACAAGTTTATGAGATAATTTTATGATTGCACATTACTTTGCAATTTAATCACTGCTCTGTATTAATAATAAAATGTGTATTACAAATGGTGGAGCTGCCCTGCGAATGGCACGCAATCAGTTTAGGGGCTAACCACCACATGCGCAAGGATAGATGGGACAGGCTCGATCTTGCCGATGACTCGAGTGAAGATGAGAAATACAGAAAATGGATGGAGCGCTCCATGCATCAGCTACGTCGACTATTGAAATGTTGACGCCATGATGTGAACAGATGTTGTTGGTGACCACACACACATCGAGCCAGTGATCTGCCCTTTCCTTCAAGGGGTGGCCTGCTTGAGCTCAGCCAACGCTATTTGTTTACATCCCTGCTCAAGTGTGGTCTGCGAGCCAGCGAGCTGGCATCACATCGTGTTCTCCACATGGCAAAAAACGACCCAGTGAAAAAAATGTCTTTCTTTCGCATTCACAGGGGTCATTCCAGCACTTTATTTTGAAGGTCACGTCACGTGTGCAGATCTCGCTATTTGTTGTGGGTTTAAGACATGGGCATAGTCCCTTCATTTTGCCGGCATGTCCCAATTTCAACAAAAACGCACAGATCCCCACAAGAAAAATACTTCATGTTATGACAATCGTATTTTGTTTTTTCTTCTTATTTTCTTAACATAATTGAATGACAATAGATAAATCAGATATTGTGCCTTATCCACAGTTAATGGGCTCTTCTCAGTTTCGGTATGATTGTGCTTATTGAAGGGCGGTTGGGGGGAAGATGGACCATTAAATCTTCGTTGAATGAATTTGGTGTGGAATGAAGGTAACTTGACAACCTTATCAAACACTTTTGAGATGAAAGAAGAAATCTTGTTGGAAGTCTTCAACCAGAGCCATATTTTCGCCACCACTTATTCACTCCCAAAGACGTTTTTAAACGTCT